AATACTAAGATATTATATTAATAATCAACCAGTCTTTTTAACATATTTATTTATTTTATTTTTTTTATTTGTTTTTTTTAGATATTTCAACTTGGACATTTTTTTTTTTCTTCACATGAGCATAGGTATAGTTATGACAACTCTTATGTTTTATGACATTTCTCTCTCGCAAATGTTTTAAAATCACTGATTTTATTCTGCAATTGGGAAAAGGTCATGTACAAAAATAAAGGGTTTCAATTCATGTCTTTGTTGAATTTTTTATGGTTGGTGCACAAAAATGCACTCTTCTTTAATTCTTTATGATATCAGTAATGAAGCACATTGACAAAAGGTTCAAGAGAATAAGATGTACATTAAAGTTCAGTACATTAAGTTCTTATTTTAACTCTAACACCAACAATTGCCCCAAAAAGTCAACATCAAAACTGAGATGTAGATAACTAAAGGAAGCTATTAGGAATGTTAGAGTTGATTACAGTAATAAAAAGATTTTATGAAAACATAAAAGTAAAAATGCAAGTCTGCCCTGTATTGACATTACTTAGAAAGAGAAGAAGAGTAAAGCCTCCTCTGTAATTGTTAAAGAGACAAAGATGTAAAAAAAGAATAAGCAGATCTAACTGGTCCTTTAATGTTACTAAGAAGTTTATTAATGCTTTCTTGGTTTTCAACCAGCAACTAAGTTGGATGCATATTTGATAAAATACGGATTTTAGGAAAAAATACATTCATGTTGACCAGATTATGATGGAGTTTCTACAATAAGTGGCCAGATATCTCTAATGTTTGCAGTAATTAAAGCAAATTCATTACATAAAGCCTTTGTGGATTTCACAAATTATCTTGAAGGTTCTCATAAAGCTGCATAGATTGTGAAAAGATGTGGTTGACACCACTACAAAGAGTAACTGTTGAGAATTTTAAAAATCGATTAATCTCAGAAAGTCTGTCTGGATCTGTCATTAGGTCTACAATTGGCTTTGCAAGGATAGGTTAAGGTAAGAATATTCTACCCATTGTGGACAAAACAATTAGAGAGAAATAATAGATTTATCAACAGTGGAGTGAAAGCTTTAAAAAGATCTAAAAGTTTAACTTTTCTTTCAGTGAAATGTATCAGTCATGAATTCAAGCAAACAAGTATTTGTTTCTCAAAGGAAGGCAACAAATTGGAATAGAGTCACTTTCAAGTGTTCTCAGAGTTGCAGTGTTTCTTAGGATTTTTTTCCCCTTTTTAAAAAAAAAAAAAGCCTCTGCAAGATGAAGTCCCCGTTAGTAAGTGCAGAGGCATGCTATGGGATTTAAAACTCTTAAACCAATCAAGGCCCGTTTCAGTACTTTCAGGTACAAATATTTATTAGAAAACCCAAAAATGTTGAGCTGAAATACCACCACGAATAAAGTTTTTAATGTTGAGGTCTTTCTAATACAAATATATTTTCTTCTATTAAGGTATTGTTGTTACTTCTTAGTCACAGTTCTGTAAGATCCATTCAATTGGAAAATATCTGTAAGAGGAAGAGTCAAAGAGATAAGATTAATAAGATGAAACTATAGGATTTAAGTTACTTAAGTAATCTATAATGCCAAATAATAACACCATTATAATTAAATTGTTAATTGTATTTAAGTACTCAAATAATCATATCTAATCATAACTTTCCTACCAATATTGGTCTATCTTCAAAAAAAAAAAAAGTTGAAATTGTCTCCAACCTTCCAACAGTATATTTTTCCATTAAAATGATTCTTACTCAATGATGCCGTCTTCTGGCCGAAAGTGGTTCAGAATAAATATTTTTCCATGCTCGTATTTGATATATTTAACGTTAAATCTTATGGGCACTTTTTATGAGTGATTGACCAATGCGGCCTTTTATTTTATTTTATTGTTTGTTTGTTTTTATTAATTTACACTGTCTAAGATCCATGTAAATAGCTATTGTATATTTACCAAACTACTCTCTCGCCCAGCCCTTATATTTTCTGGCTGGATGGGATGGTTCTTCATCTCGAGCTCTAGTCCTCCACCAGAAGTCTGGGAGCTTGAGGGTTTTTTTGCAGTATCTTGGCTTTTCCTTGGACTGTGCTATTCTGGACAGAGATGTCTGATGTTTCTCCAGACATCTGTTGCAGCCACTTCTCAATTATGGGGGTTAGTGTTCCAAGTGCTCTGACGCTGATACCACCCTCCCAGTCTTTAGTATTTTCTCATGTTGTTATTATTTCTGATTTTTCCATCGTTTGGGGTGGCCAGATCCGTTCCTACAGCTGTTCTCCACAGCTTATCAATAATCACAATTAAATTATTTTAGAAGCATACAATTAACATTTTTTTTTTTTTAAGATTGTTATTATTAATGCAGGGGTGAGTCCAACCTAAAATTACCTGCTTGTTGTATGTCAGAACTAATGTTCTCCCAACTAGTTTATCCAATTGGGATCGTTCCTCTGTCAGGATAAAAGGTAATTCTACATGATGCAAAGAATTTGGAATAGAATGCGGGTTGTCTCCTTAATCTAAAAGCAAAGTGTAATATTTTGATAAGGATGGAGCCATGGATATCTCCTCATCTGCAAACATGTATGATGTAATGATGTGGAATACTGGATTTGTATAAAATGCATTCTGGGTCACTTCATGAGATGTGAGCCCAGTTAGTAAGAGCTGCTTTCTGTAACCCTAAGCACCTGTTTTGATCTGAGTAAGGGTAACATTTCTGTCAAAATCTGTTGTTATGTTTCATGGTTAATTAATACAAATACATAATCAAGTGTTATTTAAAGAAATTATTCTGAGTGATCTCTTCTCAGGAAAAGAACCAGAGAGAGACAGCTTCAAGGTGTAAACACACAGCCTACCTAAACATGTTTCATAAAGCAATTATATGTTTATAATTTGACTGCTTTATGCAGCAGTAATTGAGTGGTGTGTAACTTAACCTGAGTGTCTGAATTGATTTTTAATATTAAAACCACCAAAAATATTGCACTGTGGGATAAAACATTTTTACATTGAGTATACTAAGCTGGAATATGAGATTTGCCAGTTACCTAACCAGTATAGTGACTCTTTATTGTTTGCTTCATAATGATTTGTGTGTGATTTGACACCTTTTAGACAAATCTTCTTATCCATATTTAAGTTTTGTTTCATATGTCTTTTTTTTTTTACTTTTTTATGTTTAGGGGAAAGACTTAAATGGGAAATAGTTAAGGGAAGTTATATATTGTATATTCTTATGAGGGGTTCCTGATACATTATATGTAAAGCACACCATTCAATGTGAAAGGCTTCATATGCCCTCTGGTGGAGTCATGCCATCATTGCATGTGAGCAAGGCATGACATATGGTGAAGGTTCAGCACCCTGTAGATGGACAGTTCCCTCCTAAATAACTAGGGTTGTTCAGGAGTGTGACGATTTCCCAATGTTTGAACAGGATATACATTGTGAATTAAGAATTATATCTAAAACGACTCTTAACCATTTATAGGGCAAGTTACCATTTTTGATCCCTTGCATACCCCTTACAAATTTAGCCCCCTCAGTGAGGTCTAGAAGCACAAGATGTATATCTAGCCATTCAGTAAAGATACTGCTACATGGCTGTACATCTTATTTTGGCATCTGACCAATTAGATGAGCCCTTGAATGATACATTACCTACTGTAAATTAACTTGGTTAAAAAGTTAAGTCAAGAAAAAAAAGGTATAAGCTAACTGAAAAGATAAAAAAGTAAACTTAATAGGCCTAGTTAATTATATTTAGGTTTATAAACTAAAAAATGTAAGTGCCAGTATCTGCATTAATGCATCTAAGGTTGTGTTGTAACAAGAAAATGTGTTTCTTTCACTCTCAGAGGGTTTTTCATGAATTTCTTATAGAAACAGTTTTGTTATTTTTCTTAATATTTCGGAAAAGTGTGTGTTTCCTTTTATTACATTTTTGCCATAAAAATATCCATATTTTTGAATGTTACAAAGGTAATAAGGTCTTGTCCTGAACACTATTGGCTTGGAATCTTGATTTTCAAAGTATTTCACTGAGTGTCGTATAAAAGGTTAAATTATCTAGTATTAGTGTTATTAGTATTAATATTAAGTTATTTTTTACTCCTTAGACCAAAAGCAAACCAACTAACATGTAAACAGTCATTGTATCAATTTGGAGAAGGCATTAGTCCCCACAAGGAGCACTTGGTCCCCACAGCGTGCTATTTTTCAGAAAATGGAAATGTATGAGAATAAAAATGTCATAAAAATGTATGAAATACACACACACCCACATACACTCGCTTGAAAATAAATAGACCTGACCTAAATATGGCTTCCCCTTTAGTCATCCCAGTGGATCACCTTACAGCAGAAAAGGTTAGCAGGCCCCCCCCATGCTCTCTGCGGACACCAGTTTCCTTATTAACAAAATTATTTTAAATCCGAGCCACAGGCCGACCTAGTTTCACCGCTCATTTCTGCCCACTTGCCCAGTCTAATCTGTTGCTGGAAAGAGCTAATTCCCTGAGAAGGAAGATGCAAAAGGGCAGAAAGAGAAAAAGAAGCCACAGGCCTCTGTAGCTTCTTTATTCAGGTGTGGCATTTGGAGTTGATCCTTGTGCTTCCCCTGACACTTGTATTCATGTTTGTGGTCTTAATTAAAGTGATATTTCGAGGGAGAAGGTTCTGTTTGTTCAGTTAATGAACCACACTATTCTCAGTGGGCAAATGGAAATGCAAGTGCTCCAATTAGCATATGTTAGCATTTTAGTATGTTTATTCCTCACTATGGAAAACAGCTTACAAAGGGGAAAAGCTTTCCAGCCTTGTAAGAGTGGCTGCAAAACTTTTTCACCCCAAAATAATTGACTTAGGCTAATTAAATTCAATGCGATGAACCTGCATCTAAATGTTTTTTTCTGTGTAAGTTTTTGTTTGGATTTCACTTTTACTTAAGGTAGAAAAGACCATGTGAAAAAAATACTTTAATTTCATAAATGTGTACAGTACATATGTAGGGGGAAATAGCCCCTCGTTACAGTAGCCTGCATCATAGTGCAGCTTGTATAATACATTTACATAATATTTGTCATATTTACACAAGCTTTGCTAGCAAATAAACATAAAAAAAACAAAACAAACAAAAAATAAGATGTGCAAAATCATGGTGCACGTTTTTCATTTTGAATGGAATTGAGCTGCACTTTGATTGTCTAAATTATAATCATGATCAAAAATGACTATATTGATGATAATATAATAGCAGGTAGACACATTGTTATAATAGCAGGTAGACACATTGACATTGTTTCAGTGATAAGTTGGATAAAGAACTATCAGATTTCCCAAAAGAACACTGTCCATTAAATATTCCATATTCTTCTGGGGTTTTCTGATCATCTCCCTTTTTAAATCATTTATAAATATCAATATAATGTTCCGCTGAATGTGTTGTTTCCGTGCCAATTGGGTCAGCCAATGGAGATTCAGTCATTATACAGATCATTATTTATCACTGCAGCTTCTCCTTGCGGAGACATCTGAAGACGTCTTTTCTTGCCAAAAGTGGAGAAAGAATTGTGAACGTCCAGTTCGCTTCGCTGTACTGTGGGCCGCAGGGTGCAAAAGCCTGATGGAGTTCCGGGGATGTAGACGTTGTGGTGGTAGTCGGGTGGTGGGTGTGGATGTGGATGTGGGTGTGGATGTGAGGGAATTGATGGCTGCTGCTGTTGTGGAGGAGGCGTGCAGTGAGGAGTCCAGGGGCGAGATGGGACCCCACTAGGTGATGGGGACATTTTGAAGTCTGGAGAAAGATCAAATGAGGGGGGGGGGAAAAGATATTTATTGTGCATAACTAACCTTAGTATGTCAGCTCTATTTAATTGCTTAGCAGATTAAACAGAACCTTAATTATCCTGAACATAAAGTTAGTATTATTAGTAGAAAAGCAAGAAAATATGTTATACTTTGCATGACAGCACAGACAAGTGCTGCATTGTCATGTAGATTAAATTAAATCCATTAAGATCCAACACATCTGGTCTATCTTACCTTTTGAGCCTTTCATTTGAGTCCCCCATGTCCAGTACTGTCCAGGTGCCATTGAGGTGACATAGTTCTCTGGGTCAGCATGCATGGCCTTACGCATGAGGGTTCCATCCATGTTGATTGAGTTGTAACTATAAAAAAAGGGGCATTATCAAACAATATTTAAACTTTATTTTTATACTATATTTTTCATTTTTTTAAGTTCTATATACATTGTTCAGTAGAATAGACAAGGAAATGTAACACTGGTTTAACATCCCACCTACTTAAGTTACCATGGTACCTTTTGATGGAGGAGTTTTGAGTCTTTGTGAGAGTCCAATCTGTATTTGGTTGCTTTAGCTGCAATGACAAAAAAGAAGAAGAAAAAAAAGCTTCATTAAAATTTGATTGATTAAATTTCTGCAAAGGAATTATGTTTTCTGCTCGCTTTGCCCTTATAAATCATATAGGTCAGTTGGAAATGACTGAAGCAGTATGTTGTCTTTGTTTTGAAATTGAGGCTGAGATCAGATGGAATGTGACTGCCCCCTTGTGGATCTTTTTCAAAGCACAGATTTTCCTGAGGCACATTCAGAAACAACTAGGTTTTGCTTTTATCCTCAGTGGAGAGCAGAAGGCTAAAGGAAAGTCACTGAACGAAGTTTTTTTCGGATTTTGAGCTTATAGTGTGCATTCCACGCTTGATTAGTTCAACTAAAGTTGTTAACAAGAGAAGTGCGACCTAAGCATATTATTAAAATCGGCATTCAAAATAGTCTCATCGCCAACCGCGCATGAAACCAATTAGAACCCCACGGGGATGAAACGAAACATGATTTAAATCTTCAAAGGAAAGCGTAGCCTACCAACGGAAAAAAAAATAGGAAAATTACACACGTCATTGTTTTGTGGATTTTATGCATCGTTTTTCATTAATATTTCCCTTATGCTCCTCGAGCAAGGTTTTTAATTAAAAGTCTATCAGAGAGCCTTGAAAAGTTTGCGGCCCACGCAGCTTCAAATGCATATCTCTGTAGTCGCACAAAGAGCCCACATTCACTCACCTGTCCTGTCTGCTTTACACGCCTGGATGTGTATTTAATCTTCCTTTTCACCTCCAATCCATCAACTCAAGTACGCCTGTGCATTCGTTTTATGCAACGCTCAAGTGGTTTCTTTGTGATTTGTCTTTTTTTGTCATCAACGACCTTACGGAGGACTAGTCTGAAAGCACGATGAGGGACTTTGGGTGAATTAGTGGTACCAATTAACAAGAGGAAGGTCACTTTCTCGAGGAGCTTCATGGCTGCAGGCGTAACAATCAGTGTGACCTCAAAATCCCTCTTGTGGCCAGAGGTGTTTGTGCTGGTGACATTTTTCCCTCTGCCTGGTGGAGCTTAGAGAAGGGACTCTGACTCTCTGTGCCTCTAGGATTTTCTTTTCTCAAGAAGTCGGGGTGACAAAAATCAGCATTAGGCACACATTTACGCTCTGCTGCTTCGTCAGTAAGGATTATTTAAAAAAAAATGGTGTGTACAATTCTTTCACCGGAAATGCCCTTTCTCCTTATCTCCTTAACTCCCTTTTCTTCGATTACACCCTCCCCTCTCTCTCCCCCCACCCTTGATCGGTGCATCTCTCCCTCCCTCCCTCCCTCCTTCTCTCTCTCTTTTTTCTCCCCATATTCAAAGGACAGCACCGGGCCGATCTACAGGCAGTCCACGTCTCTTTCCAGCCATGTCCTTGTACCCCCCCTCCCCATATCCTTCCTTCTCCTTACCACCCCCCCCCCACACACACACACACACACCCACACACACACACACACACACACAACCCTTCTGTCCTCTTCTGTCTTTACGAAACCGGCCATTTGCCATTTCTCATCAATAATTGACACCCCCACCCTCATGCGAATTCGGCACGTTGTTGGTAGTGCAGCGCCGTTTTTGCGTTTGTCCTTGAGGCATAGCTGGTGGGGTTATATGTCCCAGGGCGTCAGCCTAAAAGCGACAAAGCACCCCAGAAATCTATAAATAAACTTCATAAAAAATTAGATAATTACTTTAACCTTGAATTTGTGTTGAAACTTGGATTCTGAAAGAATGTTTGCTCACTGCCTCTTTCCCTGACAACTACAGAGACACTATTAATCACATATTACTAAACAGAATTGTTATTAAGACTCAAAGGGGACTCGCTTATCCTCTAATATACAGTAACTGACATCTGCCCTCATTTTAAGCCAAAGTCCGTGAGCAGCATCTTCCTCGCAAGATAAAGCTTTAAATGTTCATTAACGTGTCAATTAAATGTAATTTCCTCTTATTTCATCCCCCTACATACAATGCTTCCACTGAGATCAAAATGAAGATAAAATAGCCTGTTGTCATTCTAAAAAGTTCCTAAGACTGGGTGTAAAAACAAAAATCACTGAAATGTATTTCTTTCCAGGTTTGACTCTAAACTTATGTTGCATGCGTAATTTGACCTTCAAGGATGGAATGTCAAAGGCGCGTTTTCAGGGAAAAAAGTGAAGTTAATAAAAAAAACATAAGCTAACTCTTTGTCTTTTTTCCCCTTTTTTGCCTTTTTTCCCTTTTACCTCGCTTGGAGTTGTTGCTCCGTTGTTCACAGATGCGCTTCGGCTGTGCGCGTTCCACGAGTTGTCCGCGCTCTTCGCCTCGTTGTTCCTCGGCGTGCTGCTCGGGCTGCACGGCTTCAGAAACATAAAGTCACTTTTGGCTGATTCGGGGGTCAAACAGGCTTTATAACAGTATGACTGAGAAAAACTGCTATTTCCATTCACCTCCATGCAGTTCGTGGGTACTTTGGCAGCGGATGAAATCTGCAAGTTAAGGTTGGATTTTTTAAACACCTCCGGAGGCGGCTCTGCTTGAAATCCCCCACAGCAGCAGCAGGCGAAAGGGGGCAGGTTGTAACCGCTGTGGGTCTCCCTGTCCTTATAGCACTTGATGGCGGCCAGCACTATGATAGCCACCAGGAATATCAAGGATATTGTGCTGAGTGAGACGATTAGATACAAGGCGAGGTTTGATGGTGGTTTGGGGCTCAGTGTGAGGTCTCCAAAATCTGACAGCGACTCAGGCACGCTCTCAACAACTGTGAGGACAATAGAGGCTGTGGCAGAGAGCGGAGGCTGCCCGTTGTCCTTGATTAATATTACCAGCCTCTGCCTTGTTGCATCTTTTTCAACTAAGCGGCGAATAGTCCTGATTTCACCCGTGTACAGAGCCACGCTTAATAAACCCGGGTCTGTCGCCTGCAACACCTGATATGACAGCCTGGAGTTCTGACCTGCGTCTGCGTCTACCGCCGTTATTTTGGTAACGAGATACCCCGCGTCCACAGAGCGTGGTATCACTTCGGTGGCCACGGTTCCATTTTTGGGCAGTGGGGAGATAACGAGCGGTGCATTATCATTCTGGTCCAAAACAAACACATTGACTGTGACATTACTGGCGAGAGGGGGGAAACCAGCATCTTGAGCCTGCACCAGAATCTGAAAGTTTCTGAGTTGCTCATAATCAAATGAGCGGAGTGCGTAGATGTTGCCATTGTCAGAGTTGATGGAGACATAAGTGGACACTGGCATGCCCTGAATTTGACCCTCCAGAATAGAAAAAGACAGATAGGCGTTCTGGTTAGAATCAGGGTCGAATGCAGATACAGAGCAAATGGAAGCGCCTGGGGCATTATTCTCGGTCACATAAACTGTGTATGAAGGTTGAGAGAACCTCGGGGGGTTGTCATTAATGTCAGACACTTGCACCAGGATTGTTTTCCTGGTAGAGAGTGAAGGAGAGCCCAAGTCTCTAGCTGTGAGAGTGATGTTAAACTCAGACACAGTCTCCCTGTCCAGAGGCTCGCTGGTGACAAGAGTGTAATAGTTTTTAAAAGATGAATGGAGCTGAAAGGGCACATTATTTGGAATCTGGCAGTCCACATTCCCATTCTCTCCCGAGTCTCGATCCATGACGCTGATCACTGCTATTACTGTGCCTGGCGGTGCGTCCTCCTGGACAGGTGTGGACACTGACGTGAGGATAACTTCGGGTGCGTTGTCATTCACATCCAGGATGTCCACCAGCACTTTACTGTGCACTGCTACTGCTGACGGTCCTCTATCTTTTGCTTGAACGTACAGTTCATAAACACTGGCTTTCTCATAGTCCACGACGCCCTTGACACGTATCTCACCCATGTAGGGGTCCACGCTGAATAACTCGCGCACCTTTAAAGGTGCATGCCCGCTAAACGCATATGTAACTTCCCCATTTGAGCCGTCATCCAAGTCTGTGGCGTTTAACTTGAGCACCAGCGTTCCCCTGGGTGCATTTTCCACCAAGCTCGCCCTGTAAACTGAGCGGTCAAACACAGGCACGTTATCGTTGGCATCTAACACAGTGATGGTTATCAGCGCTGTCCCAGTGCGTTCCGGTGAACCTCCATCAAAAGCAGTAAGAACCATCTCGTGCCTTTTTTGCTGCTCCCTGTCAAGCGGGGTGTCCAGCACCAGCTCAGCAAACTTGCTTCCATCATTGCGCGTCTGGATGTTGAGCACAAAGTGCTGGTTTGAGCTCAGCTGGTAGGAGCGCAGTGAGTTTGTACCCACGTCCTGGTCCTGTGCGCTCTCTAAAGGAAAGCGAGAGCCAGGTGCAGCAGACTCTGTGATGTCGAGATTAAACTCAGTCCATGGAAAGCTGGGGGAGTTGTCATTCACATCTAAAATCTCCACTTCAACTCTGTACAGTTCTAATGGATTTTCAATGACAACTTGCAGATGTAGAAAACAGCTCGGGCGTCTTTCACAGAGCTCCTCTCTGTCCATCTTTTCGTTAACAAATAGGATTCCATTCTCCAAATTCACTTCTAAATACTGCTTCTTTGCGCCAGAGACGATGCGGAACCTCCGGGCTGAAAGCTTAGCCACATCTAGACCCAGGTCTTCTGCGATGTTGCCAACAAAAGCTCCGTGATCCAGCTCCTCTGGGATGGAGTACCGAATCTGCGCAAGAACAAGGTCCACCACACAAGCACATAGAAGTAGACATATGACCAGACCAGTCACTGGAATCCAGCTGCCTCTGCACAGTCTATGTTCCATTTCCGCGGCGTGCGTAAAAATAACCTCACCCAGACATGCTTTGTCTCATAAAGCCTGTCACCTTTACAGCTGAGAAGGTTGAAATATAATGAAATAAACATAAAGAGTTTTTTTTTTTCTGGATGCTAAAAAGATCATATAATTAAAAAAAGTTTTAACATATATCTGTTTAAAAAACTTTATGGGAAACTGCAGATGGAAAAACAGCGAGCGAGAGGAGAAGGAAGGTTGCTCTGTGTGCTGTGCACCACGCGCAACGCTGGTGTGTGAAAGAGGGAGGCTCGCGCTTTGATTTTCCAGTGTATTAGACACTCGGAGGAGCTGGTGGAAAGGCGTGTGTGTGGATGTGTGTATGTTAGAGAGAGACAGAGAGAGAGAGAGAAATGCTGTGTATGTGTGTGTGTGACAAAGAGGAGAGGAGAGAGAGGTGGTGGGGGGGATGTAGGCCCTCACTGCTCCGTATTGGAGGACGCTGACGATAAGTGCGACTCTAATTACTGTAGACGTTTAACCCTTTCACATCCTCCTTCCTGACCCAATAAAGAGAGGAGAGGGAGTATGTTTGACACCAGACGTCAAAGCCAGATTTGGATTAGGAAAGGAATAGTGGTTGCTTTCTAGTCTGCATTTACCGGATAAGGATTTGTAATGATATCCAAGAAGTCTTACAACATAACAGCAGGAATCAACGCTGCTAAGCAGTGACAGAGTTGGAGCTTTGGAACACAGAAAACTTAAATACTTTATTGTTGTGGTTACCAAATGTTTTATCTCCCTTTGCTTTGGCTCAAAGGGCCCAGTAGCCACTAGCAGCAGGCACCTGGGACTCCATAATGCTTTTTGATTCGAGGCCTTTGAAGATGAATGCTCACACTGCAAAACAGTCCTATTCATTAATCATCACACGCGAAACGGGCTTTTACAAAAAGAATCTTTGATAGGTCAGGATATTCATTTTTAATCAACATTCAAATGAGTGTGTTTGAGCTTAAAAAAGGATTACACTGACAGCTCTGAGTGGACAGTACAGACATACAAATGGGCATTACACGATTTTAATTCACTTAAGTAGACCAGAACATGTATAAACACAATCAACATAAAAGCTATGATATGAAGACATAATCACCCTTCTCTCTAATGAGGTACAGTTCAGATAATAAACATTGTGTATTCCAAAGGTAAGCTGTTCACAGCCAGGGGAGAGGAAATCAAATCTTCACATGGAAGCTGATATAACAGATTATAAATAACGCCAGTGGAAGAAAGCAACAGTCATACAGTTTTTATTAGAAATATGGAACTCTCTAAAGCGAGGCAACCTTTTCCTCTGATCTAATCTCTCTCCTGTTAATCCCAGAATGTAAGAAACAGCTGAACGACTGGGAAAGAGAGTGAAAACCAGAGTGAAGAAGGAATCAAATGGCGCCTTTGTGAGTCCAAGTTCGTCTCCAGACAGACATGAGTGGCATCCTAATGCAAAACTGTGGTGTGAAATGTGAGTCTCTTACTGGGGCTTAAGGCACAGCCTTGACCCCAAAGCAGCATTGTGTATAATAAGTGAATGGGTATAGAATTGATATATGCAAATGCACAAGAACAGGAAATGGATATTTCGTGCCTCCTAAAAGGATGTGATGAAAAGCGTCTGTTTAACTTCGAGCTGATGCTTAATCCTCATTGGAGACGTGAGCCTTGTGGGATATTTTCACCAAGAACAGAAATTTGACGGTCATCAAAGTAGATAGAGATCAATTATAAAACTTTATTTGTCAAAGCGAAAAGGCAAATTACCAAACTGTTACTAATAAAGTTTCTGTGTTTGACTAATTATCACCACTGCATAGGTTTCAAGATAAAGACTTGCTAAATAAAATCCTTATTATGCGCTGAATAAAATAATGTGTCTCGCTTCCTTTAACAGGCACAGACACGCAACGCTTCCCACAAATCAAAAACAAAACCCAAAAAAACCCCTAAAGTCCCTAGGTTTAAATAAGCAGCAAACACAATCTGCTTGGAGACTTAACCTCAAACAGATGGTTAAGCTTCTCCAGAAATGATTACATTTCTGAAAAAAAGAGGAAAAAAATCACCACCACAACCAGTTCCATTGCTTTCCCCTTCTTTTTAATTAACGGAGTGAAGGATTAGTGTACAGCTATCCGGGATCAAGCGTTCTCCGACGGAAGAATACAAATGTTTTGTGATAAATAATCCCAAAGCACTCCGTCAGGCGCTCCCTCGGTGCCTGTGTTATTAACATGCATTACACGGAGCATTAAGCCGGTCTCATCCGCCCCTATCACCCGGTTCACCTCATTGTCCGACAGGAAGAGAGCCATTACTTTCTCAGCGCCGATGCGCAACAGCCACCTGACCGTGACCCTCTTCAGGTCACCGGATAAAGAAGTGCCTAATGTTGGATCAGCTAAGGTAAAATGTGGTAGCTGGATTCTTCTTTTACATATTCTAAATTAAGTTTTTATTTTTTACAAAAATACTTTCAACTTTTCACTGGTGGTGTCTGTTGCTTTGGTTCATGGTGCGTTAAAGTTGGAAGAATCAAACCGATTCGCCATAAATATCCGTGATCCTATGGCGCTATCTACTGGGGGAACCGTGGAAGTGGAGATGTGTAAAATTATTTGTGGCGACTTGAAGTATTTGGGGGGGAAAAATCATGAAAAGTTAGATTTTGCATGTCTTCTTATACACATATATCAGTTATATGAATGTTGGTAACTGATCCTTATCCTGAATGTCGATCATTAATCTGACATGCATAAATAAAAGCAGAAAAAGGGTTATGATTAATCATTAGTAGTATTTGTTGATCACACATGGTTCCAGAGCTGATCAAAAGGATTATCACCTTAAAGTGTTTGAGGGGTTTTAGAAACACTATGATTAATGGAGAGCTGTCCAGGGTTTTGGGCCCTGTTGCTGTAGACTCTCCCTGTGAATTGACTTTCACTAAGACCTGGTGCAGCACAATATTTAGAGCAATTGCAGAGCATAATCAGACAAACCCTACATAAACCAGAGAGGTAAGATGCCAAGAGGCAGGTGAAGGCATTTTGACAGGACATTGGCTCCCTCGAAAAAGAGATTTTATCTCAAGGGACTTCCTGGTAAAATTAAAAAAATTAAAAATAAATTGGCTGAGTCAGCCTTGGCCCAGAAAAGTAGGAAACCCCCCAGCTATGGAGAGCCATCCTCTGTAGAGGTCCATAAGGATCGTAAAGAAAATGCAGCTCTAACGTAAATTAATTGCTTCAATTGGTAACAAGAAATGAGAACAAGGTGACTGAACTTAAGTTCTTAACTTTTTAAGTTGAAAACTGAAATAAATAAATTTGGGCAAAGTTACTCTGTATATACAACGTTACTCTGTATATACAAACTTAATATATATATAAAGTTTGTATATATATATTTTTTTTCTTTTTTAACAGGTGATGGTTTTCATTTTTATACACAATCCTATGGCGCCATCTACTGGACGTTAGTCGGCACATCAGCGTAAGCCCTTGCCTGGAGTTGTTCATTTTATTAACATATTTTTGGATAAGGTTGAGCTATGTCAATTCTCTTATCTGAAACGCCAGTAAGTGATACTAGCACAATCATCAGCAATATGAACAGGAGTATTTCAGAAGTTTAGTTTGTTTTTTGTTTTTTTTTTAGTTGTACATTTTAAATATGAGGAGAAGAAACTATGACATTCTTAGTTTTATTAGCCTTTCACACATGAGGTAGAAGGCATAAGTTATAAGTCATGTATAATAAGCGCAATGAATAACAGTAACAGTCATAGACTTGTTTGTTTTTTTCCTTACATTCTTTGTTCAAGATTTATTTATTTATTTTATTTTTTTTGATAAGCACACACGTGTTTAAAACTAAAAATTACCTAGTTATACTAAAAATTACTTTTATTTAGAGATCCGCAGCTGAAAGCAACACTTACCTAAACTAGGGTAGGGTCACATTTCCAGAAAATACCTTTTTTACTTTATTTGTTGTTTCTGCAAACAACATTACATAGCAACAAGAGATTGCTATTTGCACATGACAGGTTATTCATATCCAAGGTTTAACACAAAATAAAAAAAATAAATCAAAAAGTGCAAAATAAAACATTAGAAAGAGTTCTCAAGTTTTAATTGGTTTCTTGTTTTCCAAGCAATTGAATGGAGTGGATGTAATGTTTAAGTTCCTTTATAAAGGCAGTGGTACATGGTTTAGTAACACTAAATTTGTATTCATGCATAAAACACTTGGCCATAAAAATAATTCGGTAAATTATATATAGCCTACATTATCTGATCTCTTTGGTCTAATTTTACAGTTTATCTTAATGCTGAACAATATCTTCCAGAATCAAAGAAAGTCTTTATTTTTTCCTGTTATTCAGCTGTTTCATACCAAAAGGACTGGATAAATGGCCAGTACCAAAACAGATGCTTCAGAATTATTACAGAAGCAGCTGTAATTATCATCAGTATTCTTTTTAAAGCATTTCTGGATTAAAAAAAAGGTAGGATAAAGATCATGGATCAACTTAAATAAGATTATTTTAATGTTGTTATTTAGGATATTAAAAATCGATTAGGAAGCAGCCAAACCTCTTTCCAGTTGGAGTAGTCCATTAATTTCCCCTTATGGAACAGGTAGGATACTGCTTTAAGAAATAAGGTTCTGGTTGATTTATTGTGGCCATGTGTGGTAATGTTAGTTTGCTTTGCCCCGTGGGTTTGTGAAAGTGACATCAGCCACACAATGCATCTTGGGACTATATGACACAGAATCTACCAAAGGCGGCATTTCAGCTGGATCGGTGAGTTTTTGTTTTGGTCAGTAATCTAAAAAAAAAAAGCCAACAGATATTGTGTAGTCAACTGCCACAGTCAGCCTCATGATCGAAGGGGAAATCGGATATTACTAACAGAGCGTTTTTCAGGTTGCAGAACTGACAAAGAGGCGTTTCGGATGGCATGGATGGTGGACTTACATGGCTTTCAACATTTCCTCGGCAATGTTTTTGTGTTAACGCGATTTCCACTCTGCTAAGTTTACAAAGAAAAAGGTTTAAATCCTATTTTGAACATATTAAAGCTGCAAACCCACACAAGTCTAAGCATCTACTTTCTATCTTAGGGAAACCTGCCTATGAATTTATGGAGTGTGATCCTGACTGGCTGCATTGTTTACATCTTGACATAAAGAAGTTAAAGCAATAACTCCTAAGCAATTTGCATGCAGAAGGAAGAGGCACAGAGCTACCAGAGGAGCGATCTCATGGG